TTTTTACACCCACCCCTCACTCACTCGTTCGCTGACAGTCTTTTACCACCTCTCCTCTCCCACTCTCTGCTTTCCTTGTATGTTCTCTAGGAACACGTCTGTTTTAAGTCAAACAAACCTCCCCCGTCTTCTTCTCTTCTCCTTGATCTCCCCTCAAATCTCAGACCCCCTTTCCTCTTTCCAACCTCAGATTTCTCTCTCTTTTTTTCTCCCTCTCCTCTTCTCGCTCCTGTTTTTGACAGAGAGACATGTCTGCTCTATACAATACGTTTCTATGTGAAGGTTCTGTACCGTTCGTCCCTCCTGAATAAAACCCTTGATTCCCATCAGTAAAGAAGGATAACATGCAAAATGTCCTCGGTGTGGTGTGGCGTGGGAAGGCTGGGTTAAGGGCCTCCGTTCTGTACCGCTCTGCCAACCAAATGAATAATGTAATGTGTTCTTGGAACCAAGACCTCAACACACACACTGCCCCAGTTTAGCCAGGCAGAGGGGCTGGATGCAGGGACAAAAGGAACCTTTTTCCAGGATATGATTTGTGTGTTTTTCTTACTCAAATGCACTTTGCCACTATTAAGAATTTCCTCCATCCTCGCTAGTGTTTATTGCGTGGTTGAGGTTGAGTGCAATTATTATTCCCTATATAATCAGATATTTTTAAGCTTTATAGAATTGCTTTAGCCACGTCTTGGAGGAAATGGATGTACCGGTAATTACCATAATATTGTGTTTATTCTCGTTATCCAGCATTTAACGAGTTCAAATGACGATTCAAATTCTCTCTGGCTGGGTCTGTTTTTATATCTCTTTGAAAGATGCAAATAGCCGGTTCAGGGAGAACTATCAGTGGAGAGGGTCTGGGTTTTATTGTACTTCAGAAACGGTGCATGGTAAAGATATACTGTAAATGATGAAGATGATGATGGAGGAAGAGGTGGAGAACGGGGATGTGTCTCACATTTAATAACAATTCATACTTGCAATAAGCCTTCATGACGTCTTGTGAATGCTTTATAACTGCTTTATGAATGCCTGTAAATGTATTCATAATTCATTACATACAGGTGGTTCATAGAGTGTTGCCAACTCCTTGTGTTGGGCTGAATAAGGTTATATGTGGGCAGGAACTCATCATCCCCTTTTACCTCTCTTTCACCCCTCCTCTGAGAAGATGCACCTAAACCAACACCTCTCTCTCAGCCCCCTATGTTTAAGAGGGGGAGAGAGGCTAAAAATAGTGTGTGAGAGAGGGAGAAGGAGATAGAGATAGAGAAAGCACTGAGAGCCAGAGGAGCACGTGGAGGAGGAGAAACGGTATGAACAGAGATCATGACTCCTATTTTCATCCACTCAGGCCTTGTGTGTTGTGTTTTGTTTGGGAACAGCAGTTGTTTGGTTCCTACTGTGCTGTTCTGGTTGTCTCATGTAAATGATACATATTTGGACTTTAATTGAGTTAATTGTGTGTAGTTCTGATGGACTGAAATGACCTAGTTTGTTATCCTCCCATGAATATGTGTCATGTTGTGTCTAATGACACATCTCCATAAGTCTGCATTGTGTGAAAGTGTCTGTGTGTGTTTATTTAGCCAAAATGGAATAATACATTTTACTGCCACCCACCCCTCTTTAGCTTTGCATAATACTCTTTATAACATATGAATACATTCATAAATAGTTTTATTGTATCAGAACAAAACAATTAATATTTTATCACACACAATTTTAAATACAATTTTCAGGTTTACAAATGTTGTTTTGTTGTTTACAAATATCCTAGTAAATTGAGTTTATATTCGTACATTGTGTTATTATTTCCAAAAACCTTGTTTCCTTGTTTTCTTTATAGTAATTTATTTAAGCCTTCACTGGAAAAAAATACGTTATTTTCAAAATTCAACTAAATGAAGAATAGCTATATTTTGTAAACTTACATTGCATTTTATTTTTATATTTGTACAGTATTTCTGGTAAGCTGTGGATTGTTAGGGCCTGTGGCACGTGGATGTGAAACACATTAGAGCATTAGAAGTTTGCTAAAAACACTGCGAGTGAAACGCATTTAAACATATTATGAATGAACACACACACACACATTGGAAAGCGTCTGACATCAGAATTCATTTAAACACATTTCTGTGAATAGAGTAAAGTCATATTTTCCCCCTGGGCCGTTCAGAGCCGAGCAGAGCTGTTATAATTGATGTGGATTGGGAGAAGTTACAGGCTGTAAGGGAAAAAAATAAGCACCAGTGTAATAACAGTCTAATGTCTTGTTTGTGGTAGAGCAGTGTCTACTACTGTTGATCTCTCACTTGGCGAACTTAGTTGAAGTTGCAGTCAAAATGGCAATACGTTTAGCCATTATTTTGATGGTCCAATTGTTTTTTACTTATTCATTCTATCAGGACCCCATTTAAAGTGTTGTTTTTTCCTGTCCAGAAAGATCTAAATTAATCGAATACATTTTGAGTTAAAATGGGGTAATGAACCATTCTAAGCGTTTTTAGAGCGTGAGTGATGTACATAACGAAAGCGAGGGAAGAGGAAGCCGTATTGTCGGAGGGGAGGAAAAGTAGTCAACTGTCGACAGAGGAGTGGGAGTTGAGAATCCGATCTGAAACAGAGTGATAAGTTGGCCACCGATCATTAAAGAAAAAGGGATGACAGTGTTTTATTTTTGGAAAATAAAAATAACTTCTTTACTGCATAAACACTTTTCAACCGGTTTTAATAAACTTGAAGTATGATGAGTTAGTCATTCAGTGTAATGTAGCCTACAGTTTATACCAGTTGTCCAGCATATTTCAACAATCATTCTTAATATGGGGTTTTAGTTACTATTTTATTCATTTGTCACATTCATTTGTCTTCACTGCTTCGTAATGTGTTTTTCACATTTCCAGTAAGCTGTGTTTTGTAAAGTGGTGTGCCGTTATCTGTTTTCGTGAACATAACCGTCTGACATGTTTTTCCACATATAGTTTCCACTTGTTGTTTTTTCTTCATTTTTACCTTCCATTCTTGTGGGAAAAGGAGCTGTGTTTCAAATAATTTGTACTAATTTGTATGTGTTTTATTAAACACGTGTCAGTGTATGTTTGGGTGGCTGTGTAATCTATAGTGCTATAGTGTTAGTTAAGGAGTGATCAGCAGCTTCAGCATGGAGATGCCTGTCCCTGACTGTTAGCATAGGGGCTGCTGAAGAACTAGAAACTAGAAACAGGGTGACTAAGAGACAGAGAGAAAAGACAGGGGACGAGGGGAGAAAGAGAAGACAGACAGAGAGAGAGAAAAGACGGGGGGGCGGCGGGGGTGGGGGGGGGGGGGGGTTGTCATGTCTTACCGTCAAACAAAGATCATTGCTACTTTTTAACTGTGTGCAATAGTGTGTGTGTGTGTGTATTTCAGGGTGTGCCGTTATTAAGTGACTCACGGTTGTTCCATTAACAGGAATCTCTTCCCTTTTTCCGAACAACACTTGCGTCCCCCTTCTGAGGAATCGAAAACCACCCCTAACAGCTTTTTTTATTTTACGCCGGAAACTAAACACTAGTATGCTCCTCATATTTGTATTTTTCTCTCACCCCCTCTTTTGCTCTTTTCACCAACTTAATCTCTCTTTTTATCTCCTCTGAGATTTCTGAGGTGGATTCTGTTAACGTTGAGTTTTCTCTTAAACAAAACCTAATCTCAGCTGGGACAGTTGTCTTTTCTATTGGCTTTTTGTTTTGTGCCTCATGACAGGTTCACACACACACACACACACACACACACACACACACACACACACACACACACACACACACACACACACACACACACACACACACACACACACACACAGTGTTTTCGGTGGGGATTTTGAGCTTTCTGGCAGCATTGTCTCCGTCCTCGTCTACTGCTTTTTCTAATGCGTTGTTTTAGATGTGCTTACGAGCGTAGGAGACACCTCAAACAAATCTCCCTGAAATCACTTCCTACCCGCTCTGAGAGCGGTGGTGGTACAAACCCATGCCAGCGTCGATAGCTTGATGCATCAAACCGAGAATGTTACATGTCAAGAGTTGTTTTAGTGAACAAGCTTTCATTTGGAGAAGACTTCACAGAGTCAGTCAGAGTTGCCCTATGGGTTGTTGTAATGTGACTTCATCATCATCATCATCATCACTTGTCCTATAGTAAGACCGTCTGTAATATGGCTGGTTGGTTTGTTTGAACGTTTCATCTAATACCTACCTGGATGTCTGTGGCGGGTTCTATTATGACTCACAGCACCAATATGATTTTGGTTCTTACAATTTTGATGTTGGTTGAGTAGGTTAAATTTGCACATATTTGACAATGTTGTAGGGTATTTTTGTGCTTCGTTCAAGGTCCCTCATCAGTAATGTAGGTGCATAGAGATCCTTAATTCTGTGCGTAGGTGGCTGATGGCTGAAGGATGAAACCACGGGCTGCATCTCAATAGTCTAGCATGGCTTCCTTCGTCTTCTTCGAGGAGAAGAAGCTACTTTAGACTATTGTACCCAAGTTCCCACCACCTGTCTAGAGACGGATGGACAAACATCCTTCCTACCTGTCCATCAGCCGAGGTCAGAGGTCAGATCTGTGGTCGGGAAGGGGCAGGCCAGGAAGTTGTGTATTTCGGAAACTTACGATCGCTCGTTTCGGAAAATCGACCCGCTGTATTTTGGAGAGAGGGGCGTGTGGGCGAGAAGGGGGAGGGGTATCTCTCAATCTCTCTCTCCGCCACCGAACACCTTCTTTTCATAAAACAGGAAGCGAGTGAGCGAGCGAGAAAGAGGTAGACATCCCCAAGGATGAATGCGTAACCCCAATTTCTCTGAACTTCGAGAGTTAAAGGTTTAAGGAGAGAGAGGGAGAATAGAAGGCTATAATAAAGGAAGAAGAAAGGAAGAAAGAAGAAAGAAAGAAAGAAGAAGGAAGGAAGAAGCAAGTAAGAGCGAGGAAGACTGAAGTACAAAAATACTTATGCCATGACACAGACACAGCATCGCCTCCAGTCGACGGTCCCACTATCAGTCATGAACGCAGGAAAGGTAGGGGTCCCGTTTGGATTTTGGGTTTAGACTCAGCTGGATGGGTTGAGGTTGGGAGGTAAGGTTCTATTGGGACTGGTGGGATTGGGGTTTCTGTTGAAGAGCAACGATGTGAACGTTAGTGTGTGTGGACTGTATGGGTGGGGTGTGTGTGTTTTTGACATTGCATGAAGATCAACAAACCACAAACTGAACTGAACAATGGGGACTCGGGGAGCCAAGAGAGTGACACGCAACGTGTGTATTTAATGGGGTGTGTCTTGGAGCAGGTTAGTCAGGTGAAACAGAATGTACCGTCGTCGAGGAGAGCCCCTCGGGGTGCTATGTGGACAGTATTATAGGATGGTTAGGGGGCTGTTGGTGGATGCTATGGGAGCGAGACAAAGGTGGGGGAGGAGGGGGGAGTCAGTCTGTTGTTTGTGGAAAATGTGGTCTGCTCAGGTGTGAGTGGTACGGTGGAAAAGGAGAGGGGGTTAGGTGAGAGCCAGGGGAACAGGAGAGGAGAGCCCTTGGTGTTATAAATAAACCTCATCATATGGATACATAGACAGTATAGACTTCTATAGACCTGGTAACCTACCTAGAAAGTAGTCTATGGACCTTGGGAGTCAGTGGCCTGAGATTAGTCAAATGGAGTAAGACACAACCTTCTGTTGTAGGCCTAAATGCTCTCTCTGTCTCACTCTCTCTGTCTCACACTCTCTGTTGTAGGCCTAAATGCTCTCTCTGTCTCACTCTCTCTGTTGTAGGCCTAAATGCTCTCTCTGTTTCACTCTCTCTGTTGTAGGCCTAAATACTCTCTCTGTTGTAGGCCTAAATGCTCTCTCTGTTTCACTCTCTCTGTTGTAGGCCTAAATGCTCTCTCTGTTTCACTCTCTCTGTTGTAGGCCTAAATGCTCTCTCTGTCTCACACTCTCTGTTGTAGGCCTAAATGCTCTCTCTGGTCTCACTCTCTCGTTCCTATCTCTCTCTGTTCACTCTCTCTTGTGCTATGTCCTCTGTTCACTCTCTCTTTTGCTTCTCTCTGTCCTCTCTCTTTGTCCTGCTCTCTGTCTCACTTCTCTCGTCCTAAGCTCTCTCTTTCCTCTTTTTACAATCTCTCTCTGTCTCACACTCTCTTCCTCCTTTCACCTCCCCTGTTGAGGCTAATGCTCCTCTGTTCAGCCTGGAGTGCTAATGCTTCTTGTATACCTCGTGAGGTAAATGCTCCTCACTCTCTTGTGCTAAATCTCTCCCACCTCCTGTGTACTATCTAGCCTCTTGTTTTCACCTCCTGTTAACCCCTTTCTTTTCATGTTTTCTTCATTTGTAGGTAAATGCTTTCTGGTCCACACCACACTGTTAGGTAATTCGTGGCAACTCCTGACTTGAGACCTATGCCATATACTTGTTTCACTCTTGCGTTGTAGCTAAAAGCCTTCTCACACCTTGTGCTATGTCGCGTTCCTACTCTGGTTGTCAAATCCTCCTCTCTCTCTTTGTAGCCTAATTCTCTCTCACCTACTCTCTCTGTTTCACTCTCTCTGTGTCTCCTAAACTCTTCTCTTTCACTCCTCTCGTTCACTCTCTTTACAACTCTCTCTGTCTCACACATCTCTCTGTCCCTCACACTCTGTCTCACCCTCGTCCACACTCTCTGTCTCCACACTCTCTGTCTCACACTCTCTGTCTCACTCTCTGTTCACTCTCCTCTGCCTCTTTTCACACTCTCTGTCATCACCTCTTGCTCAACTGTCTCACACTCTCTGTTTACCTCCTGTCTCACTCCTCTTCCTCCATTAAACCTCCCTGGAGGGCATGTGTGAAAGGAAGGACAGGAGAGTGGGTGATGAGGTGGTGAAAAGAAGGGAGGAGAAGAACAAGCTTCTGTTATCCTCACACAAACACTTCTAGACACGTCTTGTTTTACCCAACATTAACCCTTCTCTATGTAAAAGTTTGTTTCAGGAAATACCACACACACACTGTTAAGGTTAGATTCAGTGGGCATAATCCTGACTTGAACTATACCCATATAACTTGAATCTTCCTTTGACGATGTGACATACGTAAAAGCTCTAACACCTTGTGTATGTCGATGTCGTCCTAAGTCTGGATTTGGCCCAGTACAGTCTGACTCCTCTCTTTCACCTTCCTCATTCTATCTCTTCCTCTCCTTCGTCTCTCTCTCTATTTTTAATCAAGGAGCTAATACTATCAAACTCTCTGTCACACACACACACACTCTCTCTCTCTGGCACCCCCTTCTCCTCTACCCCTTCTGATCCTCCAAGTTGTCCCCCCTTTCCACCCCCTCTGCCAAAATCACTTTTTCCTGATGTCATAATCTGGGGTTGAGGGGGTGGATGTTCGAGGAAGAGGGGAGGAGTGATGGGGAGAGGGGAGCAGTGATTGAGTGGCGCAGTGGTCTAAGGCACTGCATCGCAGTGCTAACTGTGCCACTAGAGATCCTGGTTCGAATCCAGGCTCTGTCGCAGCCGGCCGCGACCGGGAGACTCATGGGCGGCGCACAATTGGCCCAGCGTCGTCCAGGGTAGGGGAGGGAATGGCCGGCAGGGATGTAGCTCAGTTGGTAGAGCATGGCGTTTGCAACGCCAGGGTTGTGGGTTCGATTCCCACGGGGGGCCAGTATAAAAAAATATGTATTCACTAAACTGTAAGTTGCTCTGGATAAGAGCGTCTGCTAAATGACAAAAAATGTTTAAAAAAAAGTAAAACAAATTGAAGGAGGGATAGCACTAAGCTCTTGTTTAATATGGTCCCTCACGTGAAGGAGAGCTCCTTGTGTAAGTCACGCTAGTAATGAAAGGCTACAGTACCAACCAAAATATCTCTGCACCGTGACTGCATTAACTAACACAGTTTTACTTGTCAAAGGGCGCGTGCATGCACTGAGGTATTCTAGGTATTTGTGCATTTGTTTCCTGGTATCAAAAGCAATGAAATGTGATCTATATCAAAAGCATACACAATATTGTGATGATGTCACCACACCAGAAGAAATGTTAAACATTTTTCTCTGATTCTTATTTTTTTCCATGTTAAAAAATACATCCGTGGCCACCGAATGAGTTTGACTCAGCCTGAACTTCAATATCTGTGTTATTCTAACCAACTGTTCCCTCCTGCAGGTGGCGATGTCTCCAGGAGAGGACGGTCTGATCGGGATCCCCTTCCCAGAGCACAGCAGCGAGCTCCTGTTCCGCCTCAACGCCCAGCGCAGGGCGGGGCAACTCTGTGACCTCACCCTGACCTCGCGGGGCGCCCGCTACCCCACCCACCGCTCTGTCATGGCTGCCGTCAGCCTCTACTTCCGCGGGCTGTTTGGGGCGGAGGAGGGGGCCGAGGCGGGGGGAGGAGGAGGGTTCAGTGTATGCCAGCTGGACTGTGTAACGCCCGATGCCCTGGATGCCCTGCTGGAGTTCGCCTACACGGCCACCCTGACCATCCGCAGCTCTGGCATGAGAGATGTGTTGAGAGGGGCTCAGTTACTGGGGATCCAGTGTGTGGTTGACGCCTGTAGAGACATACTGGGGGAGACGGCGGGGGAGGTAGAGTGGGAGACGGGGGAGCAGAGGGTACAGGCGGAGAGGGAGAGAGAGGTGGCGAGGGGGATGAAGAAAGGCTCCCGGAGGAAGATAGACAGACGGAGAGTCACCAAGGTGGAGTCGTCACACCACCAGCCACTGCCTCATCGCCCGAATGTCAACACACACCAGCACCCCTCCACTCCTCCTCCACACCCCTCACCTGTTCAAGATGGGGCCCGCTCTCAACCCTCCACCCGACCCCCCAGCCCTGAGCAGGAAGAGCACCCCTCCACCACGGGACAGAACGGGGATCGGAAGCAGGGCAGGGGTGCAGGTAGAGGGAGTACAGCAGTCAACGGAGAGGTGCACTGGCCTCAGGAGCGCCTCCTCGCCCCCCACCCCCCTCTCCCTCTCTCAGACGACAGACTGTCAGAAGACGAGGAGGAGATGGAGGGAGTAGGGAACGGAGGGGTGCCCAGCTTTACTTCCGCCCCCCTGGCAGAGCAAGGGGGGGCCACGGGGCCAGGAGGAGGGGGTAGGAAGAGGAAGTCTCAGACCCCCTCAGCAGTGTCCTGTCTGTCAGAAGATCATCCACGGAGCGGGGAAGCTGCCCAGACACATGAGAACACACACCGGGGAGAAACCATTCGAGTGCTCTACCTGCGGGGTCCGCTTCACCAGGTACGTACGTTGTATTTTAATACTATTAACTATAACAGATTACAGGGCTAGCAATGTCCTACATGTGATGCTAAACCCTTATCCTCTTTCCTGTTTCCCTCTGTTCTCACCTGTTTCTCTCTGTCTCCTCTCTCTCTCTCTCTCTCTCTCTCTCTCTCTCTCTCTCTCTCTCTCTCTCTCTCTCTCTCTCTCTCTCTCAGGAATGACAAGTTGAAGATCCACATGCGTAAACACACAGGGGAGCGTCCGTACCCCTGCCCTCACTGCCCCGCCCGCTTCCTGCATTCCTACGACCTGAAGAACCACCTGTCTCTCCATAGCGGGGCGCGACCCTTCGAGTGCCCGCTCTGCCACAAGGCCTTCGCCCGCGAGGACCACCTCCAGCGCCACCGCAAGGGCCTCAGCTGCCTGGAGGTCCGTACCCGGGCACGACCAAGGCGCGGGTCTGGGGCTGACCACGGGGAGGAGGGCAGAAGGGCTAGAGGAGGAGGAGGAGGAGGAAGAGGGCATTCTCCAGACCAGCTCGACCCTCTGGAGAATCTGGCCCTGCAGCCCCACGCCTCAGCATTCCACCCCCGTGCTGGGATGGTGGGCCTGGGGGATGAGGCTGGGGTTGGGGCTGGGGCTGGAGGTCAAATGGTGTTCCAGAAGGAGGCTGACAGGGAGCGAGCTTTAGCCCTCTTAGGGCCTCACAGGCTGCCCTACACTGGTCTGCTGTGGAGAAGCCTGGAGCTGGGGGCGAGGGGGGTGGAAGGGGAGGAGGCAGGCGGGGGCCACTCTCCTGCACTTCAGCATGCAAGATGGGAGGAGGCAGGCGGGGGCCACTCTCCTGCACTTCAGCATGCAAGATGGGAGGAGGAGGCAGAGGAGGAGGCAGAGGAGGAAATGGCAGAAGAAGATGAGGAAGACGAGTGAGAAGAGAAGAAGAGAAGAGAGTGCATGTGTGTGTGTGCGCGTATGTGCATTTGTATATGCATAAGTGTGTGTGTGCGTTTGTGTGTGTGTGGCACCCACAGTAAGGATGGGGATCTCACTCAGGTGACTGGACCTGCTCCTTCTTACAAAGCGCTTAGAGAAAGACTAAACAATCCCAAAAAAATAATGGAAAACGGGTTTTCTTATTTCTTACTGTTGTTTCATGGCTCTCTGTTTTTATTTCAGTTGTCTCGAGTTCTGTTTCTAGTTGTCTTAATTTACTGTATTTCATGTTTGAGCTATTTTATTTCATGCTCTGGTTATTCTTATTTGCTGTACATAAAAATAGGCTTTATTGAGGGAATGTTTTGCGCATATATGTACTGATGGGGATATGGGGTGATTTTCTCTCACTATGCAAACTGAAATCTACAGCTGAGAAAAATAAGGTGTCCAAATGTAAAAAAAATAACAACAAAAAATGATTCAACAAATAATGTATTTTTGAGCAGAGTGCTGTTAGAGTAATATAACAATCAAATGTTATTGAAGTTCAAACAATGTATGTACAACATCCATCTAGGCCTACTAAACCCTATCACTCTTCATGTCATTATAGTAGCACTCTCAGCAGGGTCGTAAGAAACCGGGAGCATCCGGTTTTCAGTGGAAAAGCAGAGAAGACACAAAGCCATGAAAACCGGTAGCTTCCGGTTTCTTCCGACCCGCTCAGGCATTTGTTTTACGCCTGCTAAATTAGGTAAATATAGTAGTAGGTGTAGAATCTGCTGTTCCACTTTGGGTGTAATGTACTACCCTCTAGTGGTTATTGGTGGAGCTAGTCTCCAATGGCAACAAGTCACACAGGTTTCCTATTGAAGATAGCCATTATCTAACCGTAGTGGTCTTATTTTAAGGCTTATTATTTTGCTGTCCGTTGTAAGTAGATTTTCATGCCCTTCTTTTTATAAGGCACTGATGATACCAAAGATTTCAATTTATTTCTTCCTAATCAATCAGTTCGATCAAGCACAGGAGCACCAGAGCTATAGATTGAGATCCCAATGGGCACACACTGGTTGAATCATTGTTGTTTCCACGTCATTTCAATTAAATTACATGAAACCAACGTGGAATAGATGTTGAATTGATGTCTGTGCCCAGTGGGATGGCTCTAAGAGGGATCCTGGGATTTTAGAGCCAAGGTTTGGTTCAAAGACCTGTCTTGATTTGCCCGGTTCTCCGCTGCAGAGTGATAGAAGGGTTGAAGACTGCTTCCATAGGTTAGATTCTCTGTGGAGCTCTAGTGCACTGTGAAAAATGCCTGACCAAAACTAGACTACGTTTGCAGGGTTATTGGATGATTGTTAATGAGAGGTGTGTGTTTGTTGCTTTAGCGTTTACTTTTTGACATTGACGGGGGACCATTCCTTTCCAAAGTCTCCTTCTTTAGAACGTCTTCTGATCATGCACTCCTTGTTTTTTGTTGATTGCAAAAAGAGTGAGAGAAAAGGAGAGACCAAGAGGGAAGGAGGGAGTGAGGGAGAGACCTTGATCTCTTGATCGCTCTGTATTTATTTATTTATTGTTATTTATTGTGGCTTTCCAGTTGAAACTGTGTGTGTGTGTGACCTGACCCAAGGTATCCACAGTGACCTGACCCAGGGTATCCACAGTGACCTGACCCAGGGTATCCACAGTGACCTGACCCAGGGTATCCACAGTGATCCGACCCAGGGTTTGACACAGTGACCCGCAGCACCACTCGGCTCGGTCCCCTTCTGGCACAGTTGAAGTGCTTCGTACCTGCTTCCTTTTGAGTCTAAAGAGAAACTGCATTGTGCTTAAAGTGACGGCTAAGAAAGACCCATACACCCAGTGCCCTGTTGGGTGATAGGTCCTCTGTTGGCTATTCTTCCTCCTTTTGCATTTGTTTTGCACAACACATCACACCCCGAAAAGGTACTGCAATAATACCAGCACATTCCATCCTCCGGGGTAGAAAGAAGGGATCAGAAAAGAGAGAAGGAAAAGAGACCGACAGAGCCTCTCTCTCTCTCTCTCTCTCTCTCTAGAGCACAAGACGACTGTCGCACCGTAGCCATTTGACACTTTCAGTTAAAGAGATAAGCATCAACTGCACTTAGGGAGAGAACTGTGTTGTTGATTCAACATGTACTGTATGTTATTGTGTAATCTGTCAAAGCTGTGTGTATAAATCCAAGATAGGCCCTGTAGGGGGCCTGTCTCTAGGAGACCAGCGGCCATCTTGGGTGGCGCATTACAGGAGTAAGGCTGCTTTGCTTACAGATAATCAACTATTTCTTCAAAGTCTGTCACTCTTTAGGTGATAGTGAGTTGTGTTTTTTATTTACAACTAGTTACGAGGGCTGTAACTCTAGCCTTATGTAGCTGTAGCATACTGGACCTGTGTGTGCTATCCATCCCACGCTATGTAGAAAAAAAGGTTCCTTGTTTCTGATTTATTTGCACTAAAATTATTGAGAGCTTTTATGTTTTTTGTTTCACCTCCTTATCCATTCCATGACGTCACTCAGTATCGTTTATGATTGTAAGAGAAGATATCTATATATCGTTCCTTAAATTCTTGATAATAACATTTGTCTATATTCTTTCTACTGCTTAGTGTAATAATGATGATAAGAGACTGCTATGTAAAGGGGTGAAGCTGCCTTGGTCTTTTGTTTTGTCTTTGTGCTGCAACTATTCTCAGGAACTCTTGAGCAATGCACAAAGTAATTATGCAAAATTGTGGGGGAGATATGCTGTGTATGTATGTAGCCTATGTATGTTCATACATGTGTCTGAAGGGGGTAGTGAAACCTTTCACTCAAAAGTACGGTTTCAATATAACACCTTGTACCACATGCGTATGAGGAAGTAGGATAAAAGCAAATCCAGAAGTAGTAAAGATATCCATTTGTATGGTAAAACGTGCACAATGTAGTGTACATCAATTGAAACCCGCCAGTCACACACATTGTGCTGAAAGGTTTTCTATGCTGAGGGGTGTTGCTACCAGCATTTGGAGAGCTTGGTGAGTGAATGAGAGATAAACAGTATGCCAGCTGTGAAGCGTTGTGTTTTTCTATGGGACTTTGTAGTTTTCTTTGGCTTTGGTGAAGGGATCTGGGGTCTGTTTTGAATAGAGACCCCACTATCAGGGATACATTTTTGTCTTTCCGTTTTTAGTGGACCTTCTGTCAGAGATATTAATTCATTTCCCCATAATTTGTTTCAGATAATGTAAAGAAAACAGATAAATAAACAAATATCTATCTCTGTCTGTTTGTGTTGTTTGTTTGACACTAATGCATGGTTCCATATCCATAGATGGTAGCCTAGGCCTTATGTATTAGTCTACAGCCTGCTTCCTGCTGTATTACATTGTAGTAAATTAGTTGTAATTTGGAACTTTAATTTAGTGCATTTATTTAGCCAATACAAGATCAGAGCCTAACTGCAATTCCCAATGCAATAGATTTCCCACAGCAAAAAGTGTTTCAATTATAGTAGATTATTATGGACAACAAAAATGTATGCACTGAGTAGGCCTAGCTTCTTAGCTGCAGTCTTTCACATACACTGTAGCCAGAAGCACTTCTGCCAATGATGCAGGGAGGAATGTCAGCCAGCCTCGACACCTGTGGCTTTGGGTTGTCGCAGGCGCACGGGCCACAGAACGTCATAATCTGATTAGCAGCACTAGTTGAGTTAGCTAACCCAACTAGGTAGCCTGGCCAACAACCGACCGCACTGCTAACTAAACTGAATTTGGGAGTGTTTTGTCATTTTTGAGACGGCAGTGAACAAATCAAGGAGAGAAGCAACGGCCCAAAGAGGGAAACCTTTCAGGTTATCAACAACATCCTTGGTCATCTAATGACAGCGTCAGGAAGGTGAATGGAGATTAGTTAGCTAGAACATTCTTAGCAGCACAAATTAGCAGCTAAATTAGCTCAACTAGGCTAATTTAACTGGACCAGTAACCGTAAATAAGCTTTTTTTTTCATTTGTTTGGCCAAATGTACATAGAATAATTTGCCATATGCTGCTTAAGGTATCTTAAATCGTTATTAAAGTATAGATTCTTAAATGAGCACTAGGCCAATAACTGGCTAACTGGACTAGATAGCTAGATGGCTACAAACAAAGTTCCCTTCACTCTCAGGATGTTGACGCTGCGCCGGATGCTAGGAAGCGCAGGTGCGCACTCGGCGGCCGCGCAGCAGTGCCTCTCGCCCCATCTGGGCCAGCGCTACAGCACCGCGGCGAAGCAACAGGTAGCCTTCTCTCACCTAGTGTAGTTTAAACCATTTCTGTTTTCTAGACTAGGCTACAACTGCCTAGGTCTCCATCTAGCCTATTATCGTTACATAAATTATTCTGTGTGTTTATCTGGGTTGCTAGGAGAATCCAAAGAAGACTAAATTTGGTCCCTTGAGTGATCAGGACCGGATTTTCACAAACTTGTATGGCCGTCATGACTGGAGGTAGTAACATCCCAACATAACATCACTGTGCACATACACACTCTGGATACCATCAAATCTATGCACATACAGTACTCTTGCCCCCTTCTTAACCATCCATAAAGTGTCCTCCTCTCCTTGTCCCCTTCCCTTAACCTACCCGAGAATACATGATATCTGAAAACAACACATACACCAAGTACATAGGAAGTATTAGGGGATAGTGGCCTATTTAAAAACACCATCTATATTTCCCATTGTGTCCCCAGCCTGAAGGGTGCTCTGCGTCGGGGTGACTGGTATAAGACTAAAGAGATCCTCCTGAAGGGGACAGACTGGATCCTGAACGAGGTCAAGGTGTCTGGTCTGAGAGGGAGAGGAGGAGCTGGCTTCCCCACCGGCATGAAGTGGGGCTTCATGAACAAACCCAGTGACGGCAGGTAAGAAAGAGAGCGAGAGAGAGAGAAAGTATGTGTGTGTGTAGGTAGCGGCAGGTAGCTTAGTGGTTAAGAGCGTAGTGCCAGTAACCGAAAGGTCGCTGGTTCTAATCCCCGAGCCGACTAGGTGAAAAATCTGTTGATGTGCCCTTGGGCAAGGCACTTAACCCTAATTGCTCCTGTAAGTCGCTCTGAATAAGAGCGTCTGCTAAATGACTAAAATGTAAATGTGTGGCAGTCGGTGCCATTTTTTTATAAGCATGGCCTTATTTCTATTACAGCATATTGGATGACTGTCATTTATATTCCATTCACATTTTAGTCATTTAGCAGACACTCTTATCCAGAGCAACTTACAGTTAGTGAGTGCATAAATTTTCATACTGGCCCCCTTTGGGAAACGAACCCACAACCCTGGCGTCGCAAGCGCCATGCTCTACCAACTGAGCTACAGGGGACTCACCCAGCTCAATGTAACATCAATAGATTTAGGCTACTACATTATACTCAAGTTTTCCCTATACCCATCATGAGGTTGCTACAACCTAGCCTATGAATGAAAGTTTACCATGTACGCTAGGTGCACAGGTCGAGAGAAATTTGAGTAATCAAGGTGACAGACATTGATACATTCAATACCGCCTTGTACACTCTAGCCTGTTCCGTTTGCGTCCGTTTAATAAACGTTTTCAACAGAATCGGCGGAATGAATACAAATCAAATCAAATCAAATGTTATTTTTCACATACACATGTTTAGCATATGTTGGGTGTAGCGAAATGCTTGTGCTTCTAGCTCCGACAGTGCAGTAATATCTAACAATTTCACAACATATACCCAATACACACAAAAAAAGTAAGGAATGGGATTTAAGAATATATACATATATGGACAAGCAATGACAGAGCGGCATGGACTAAGATACAGAAGAATATTATAGAATAGAATGCAGGATATACATTTGAGATGAGTAGTGCAAGATATGTAAACATTATTAAAGTGACTAGTGTTCCATTTCTTAAAGTGGCCAGTGATTTCAATAGGCAGCAGCAGCCTCTAATGTGCTAGTGATGGCTATTTAACAGTCTGATGGCCTTGAGATAGAAGCTGTTTTTCATTCTCTCGGTCCCAGCTTTGATGCACCTGTACTGACCTCGCCTTCTGGATGATAGCGGGGTGAACAGGCAGTGGCTCGGGTGGTTGATGTCCTTGATGATCTTTTTGGCCTTCCTGTGACATCGGGTGCTGTATGTGTCTTGGAGGGCGGGTAGTTTGCCCCCGGTAATGCGTTCGGCAGACCGCACCACCCTCTGGAGAGCCCTGCGGTTGTGGGTGGTGCAGTTGCCGTACCAGGCGGTGATACAGCCCGACAGGATGCTCTCAATTGTGCATCTGTAAAAGTTGGTGAGGGTTTTAGGTGATAAGCCAAATTTCTTCAGCCTCCTGAAGTTGAAGAGGCTCTGTTGCGCCTTCTTTACCACACTGTCTGCGTGGGTGGACCATTTCAGTTTGTCGGTGATGTGGATAGGGGGGTGCACCCTCTGCTGTTTCCTGAAGTCCACGATCATCTCCTTTGTTTTGTTAATGTTGAGTGAGAGGTTATTTGCCTGGCACCACACTCCCAGAGCCCTCATCTCCTCCCTGTAGGCAGTCTCGTCATTGTTGGTAATCAAGCCTACTACTGTTGTGTCGTCTGCAAACTTGATGATTGAGTTGGAGGCGTGCTTGGCCACGCAGTCATGGGTGAACAGGGAGTACAGGAGGGGGCTGAGCACGCACCCTTGTGGGGCCCCAGTGTTGAGGATCAGTGAAGTGGAGATGTTGTTTCCTACCTTCACCACCTGGGGGCGGCCCGTCAGGTAGTCCAGGACCCAGTTGCACAGGGCGGGGTTCAGACCCAGGGCCTAGAGCTTAATGATGAGCTTGGAGGGTACTATGGTGTTGAATGCTGAGCTATAGTCAATGAGCAGCATTCTTACATAGGTAATCCTCTTGTCCAGATGGGATAGGGCAGTGTGCAGTGTGATGGCAATTGCATCATCTGTGGATCTATTGGGGCGGTAAGCAAATTGAATACACCCCTGATCACACGCAAACACAGTTCACTTTCATAGCAGCAGCATACAGTACCAGTCAAAAGTTTGGACACACCTACTCATTCCAGGGTTTTTCTTTATTTTTACTATTTTCTACATTGTAAAATAATAGTGAAGACATCAAAACTATGAAATAACACATATGGAATCATGTAGTAACCAAAAAAGTGTTAAACAAATCAAAATATATTTTATATTTGAGATTCTTCAAAGTAGCCACCCTTTGCCTTGATGAAAGCTTTGCAAACTCTTGGCATTCTCTCAACCAGCTTGATGATGTAGTCACCTGGAATGAATTTCAATTAACAGGTGTGCCTTCTTAAAAGTTAATTTGAGTCAAATTTGAGATTTTTGGTTAAAACCGCCGTGTCTTTGTGAGACGCAGAGTAGGTGAACGGATGATCTCTGCATGTGTGGTTCCCACCATGAAGCATGGAGGAGGAGGTGTGATGCTGTGGGGGTGCTTTGCTGGTGACACTGTTGGTGATTTATTTAGAATTCAAGGCAGGTCAGCATGGCAACCAGCATGGCTACCACAGCATTCTGCAGCGATACCCCATCCCACCTGTTTGCGCTCCAGGCTGTGTAAGGGCTATTTGACCAAGAAGGAGAGTGATGGAGTGCTGCATCAGATGACCTGGCCTCCACAATCACCCAACCTCAACCCAATTGAGATGGTTTGGGATGAGTTGGACCGCAGAGTGAAGGAAAAGCAGCCAACAAGTGCTCAGCATATGTGGGAACTCCTTCAAGACTGTTGGAAAAGTATTCCAGGTGAAGCTGGTTGAGAGAATGCCAAAAGTGCAAAGCTGTCATCAAGGCAAAGGGTGGCTACTTTGAAGAATCTAAAATATTACATCTATTTTGATTTGTTTAAGACTTTTTTGGCTACTGCATGATTCCATATGTGTTATTTCATAGTTTTGATGTCTTCACTATTATTCTACAATGTAGAAAATAGTAAAAATAAAGAAAAACCCTGGAATGAGTAGGTGTGGCCAAATTTTTGACTGGTACTGTACATACACCATGATCCCTTTGATCGTTGGATAATTTCTTCTCGCATCTACATGCTCTCCTCCTCTCACCTTTTCACTTCGCTTGTGGACTCCAGTGCACAACACATCAGCTGTCTGTAACCAGGCGAAAAAACCTTTCCAAGCCAAACCTTCATATCATAACCGCTAACCGCAACACACAGCCTACATCGTTGTCACCATATTATAATGAAATAGTCAACATAGCTACTAGAACTAACGTGTTAGTAAACCCTGCTACAATCATGCAATACAGTGTACAATCAGCAAGGAGTTTAGTAGTTACACCGGCGGGCCCCGGAGGCAATAAATTAATACAACCAAAAGCTTACCTTGACTTGGAAGAGTTCCAGTGTTGGATAGCCATAGTCAGCTAGCTAACATAGCATACCTCTCTGAGCCGGGTGTTTGAGTAGGCTAAACTAGCTAGCTGCAGTGAAAGTGAAAAAAATACTAAATATAACTAGCTCTCTCTCTCTCTTGCTTCTCCTTCACTTTTGAATACATTTATTTGTTCAAAACTGTTCAACTATTGTCTTTCTCTCTCTTTGAGTGAACTACTCACCACATTTTATGCACTTCAGTGCTAGCTAGCTGTAGCTTATGCTTTCAGTACTAGATTCATTCTCTGATCCTTTGATTGGGTGGACAACATGTCAGTTCATGCTGCAAGAGCTCTTATAGGTTGGAGGACATCCTCTGGATGTTGTCATAATTACTGTGTAAGTCTATGGATAAGAGCGTCTGCTAAATGATGTAAATGTAAATGTCTATGGAAGGGGGTGAGAACCACGAGCATCCTAGGTTTTGTATTGAGTCAATGTACCCAGAGGAGGACGGAAGCTAGCTGTCCTCCGGCTACACCATGGTGCTACCCTACAGAGTGCTGTTGAGGCTACTGTAGACCTTCATTGCAAAACAGTGTGTTTTAATCAATTATTTGTTGACGTGAATATATTTAGTATAGTTTTATCTAAAAAGGATCACTTTTGAAATGTTTCACTATTTAAATGTTTCTGAAATTCACGGAGGAGGATGGTCCTCCCCTTCCTCCTCAGAGGAGCCTCCACTGGTGTATAACATACAGTATCTGTGTCTGTATCTCAGGCCTAAGTACCTGGTAGTGAATGCAGATGAAGGAGAGCCAGGGACGTGTAAGGACAGAGAGATTATGCGTCACGACCCTCACAAGCTGGTGGAGGGCTGCCTGGTGGCTGGGAGGGCCATGGGAGCCCGCGCCGCTTACATCTACATCAGAGGAGAGTTCTACAATGAGTCCTCCAATACACAGGTCAGAGTTCCATAACGAGTCCTCCAATGCACAGGTCAGAGTTCTATAACGAGTCCTCCAATGCACAGGTCAGAGTTCTACAACAAGTCCTCCAATACACAGGTCAGAGTTCTACAACGAGTCCTCCAATACACAGGTCAGAGTTCTACAACGAGTCCTCCAATTCACAGGTCAGAGTTCTACAACGATTCCTCCAATTCACAGGTCAGAGTTCTACAACGAGTCCTCCAATTCACAGGTCAGAGTTCTACAACGAGTCCTCCAATACACAGGTCAGACTACCTGCTCAGGCTGGTTAGAGTCATGTCCTCTCCTGTCTCCTCCACACACGAGCACACACACACTTACAGTATGTCCTGTCCTGTCCACCAGGTGGCGATAAACGAGGCGTATGTAGCAGGGTTGATAGGCAAGAACGCGTGTGGCTCTGGGTACGACTTTGATGTGTTTGTGATGCGGGGAGCAGGAGCCTACATCTGTGGGGAGGAGACGGCCCTCATCGAGTCCCTGGAGGGCAAGCAGGGGAAACCCCGACTCAAACCACCCTTCCCCGCTGACATAGGTGAGGAAATTACCTACCACCTTTGACCTTGATCTTTGACCCCTTTCTCCTGTCACTCCTTTCTAACTTACCTGCTAACATAGGTAAACACCTACCACCTTTGGATTTACCTCCTTCTTGCCAAAAAAGAAACAACCAAAAGAATGATAATATGGTCTACCAAAACCCTAACAGAAAAATGTGTAGTTTCATGTTATCACAGGTTGCTTTACATGTTGTCACATGTTATCACATTAACTTCACATGTGATCACATAAAAACATGAATGTGGTTCATGTGGTTTTTTTCCATAAGGGAACTGTACATTGCATTTCTGACAGTTCAATTGTTTTCTGTAGATTATACTGTGAAAATAAATGCTCTTCTTATTGATTTTCTCTCAATGTACCACATTGTCTTTGGGTCTCCAGGGGTGTTCGGATGCCCAACAACGGTTGCTAACGTGGAGACGGTTGCCGTGGCGCCTGCTATCTGTCGTCGAGGTGGAGCGTGGTTTGCAAGCTTTGGGAGAGAGAGGAATGCTGGGACAAAGCTGTTCAACATCTCTGGTCATGTGAACACTCCATGCACAGTAGAGGAAGAGATGTCCATTCCTCTCAGAGAACTCATAGAGAGACACGCAGGTGTGTGTGCGTCTGTGTGTGTTCGTGCAAGTGTTAATGTGACAAGTTTTCTAGTACTGCCTGTATTTGTGTTACTGTGTGTGTATGCCAGAGTGGGTATATTATTGGTGCTGCTGATATTTGTGCGCCTGACACTCCCTTCCCCTCGACTCTGATTGGTTCAGGAGGTGTGAGGGGCGGCTGGGACAACCTACTGGGAGTGATCCCTGGAGGCTCCTCCACACCCATTATCCCTCGCTCTGTGTGTGATGATGTCATGATGGATTTTGATGACCTCGTCCGCGCAGAGTCCGCTCTGGGCACTGCCGCCATCATCGTCATGGACAAATCTGTAAACATGCACTCACGCACACACTATTTACTTTATATTGATGAACATTGTTTTATAAGAACAAATCAAATTGTGAAGAATATGTGTGTACTCCATTCTCCCAGACTGACGTAATCAGAGCCATCGCCCGTCTGGTTGAGTTCTATAAACATGAGAGCTGTGGCCAGTGCACCCCCTGTAGGGAAGGTAAGGTACTACATGCTCTGTTTTTTACATTTTAGTCATTAAGCAGATGCTCTTATCCAGAGCAATTAGGGTTAAGTGCCTTGCTCAATGGCACATCTGCAGATTCTTCACCTAGTCTGCTCGGGGATTCGAACCAGCGCCCTTAACCGCTAGGCTACCTGCCACCCTATATTATTTTGATAATATAATGTCCACAGGTTTTGCTACTATATAGCTTATTGCTCAAACATAAAACCCCATCTCACTTCTGATAATTTGATATCTGTGTGGCACAAAGAAAACCAGGTAACTGGGTGGTTAGTTGATCTCTCTGTCCCTCGCCCTATCTCTCTCTCTCCCCCCCACCAGGAGTGGACTGGATGGATAAGATGATGTGGCGGTTTGTGCGTGGTGACGCGGCCAACTCAGAGATTGATATGATCTGGGAGCTGAGTAAACAGATTGAGGGCCATACCATCTGTGCCCTGGGGGACGGGGCCGCATGGCCTGTACAGGTGAGACTACTGGGGTCAGAGGTTAGACAGGTACAGGTGAGACTACTGGGGTCAGAGGTTAGACAGGTACAGGTGAGACTACTGGGGTCAGAGGTTAGACAGGTACAGGTGAGACTACTACGGTCAGAGGTTAGACAGGAACAGGTGAGACTAATGGGGTCAAAGGTTGATACAGGAACAGGTGAGACTACTGGGGTTAAAGGTTGATACAGGTACAAGTGAGACTACTGGGGTCAAAGGTTGATACAGGAACAGGTGAGACTACTGAGGTCAATGGTTGATACAGGTTGTTAGAGTGGGGTGAAGAGTTAGATGAGAACGGATGTGGAGATACTAGTGAAGTAACATCCTGACCCCCACCTCCTTCTCTTCCTTCACTCCAACCTTCTCTTCCACTTTAGGGTCTGGTCCGGCACTTCCGTCCGGTCATGGAGAGCCGCATCTCTGAGTACCACAAGAAGAACCCTGCCAGGGAGGCTGACATTGAGATGATCTGAGACTGAACTCCCTGGTCTTAACATTCTGATCTAACCATTCCTCACTTCAAATCATTTCCATTGCTTAATGACTGGTTCACAGTTCTTCAGTTTTATTGGATATTTACAGTATGTTAATGAACCTAGTACGTATTCAACACCAACCTACTTTGTTTGTTTTTGTTATTTACCTATGTATTTATCATGTATTTATTCATTTGTTCATTCATTTGTTTATGTACTTCAGATTACCTCTGAATATACACACATGAATAAAGTTCAATCAAAATGGACTTATGTTATTTTCTGTCATCTCAAAAATAGCATATAATCTAGTACATAAAACATCTATATCAGTAGAACAGAAATAAGTCAATTTGCTTTTCTGTCATCAGGTTGTTAGAGGAAGATTTGGGGCTCTTTTAACCCTCTGACTTTCCATCTGATTTCCCCTCACATAGGGAAGAGCAGGAAGCCATTGAAGGGGCTGTGACTAATTGTATCATCATCAAAGAGTTTGTTGCCTGAGGGGAGGCGCATGTAGACCAAGTCCCCCTCTTCCAGCTCCAGAGTCACCGCACTGGATAGATACTGGTTGCCTCCGTGATTGTTCTGAGCTGCCCATGTTATAAGCTGGTTATTCTTGAACATAGACACAACTACCCGTGCTGGTGAGAGGTTGTCCATGGCAGTGAATCTGATGTAGTAGACTCCTCTCACTGGTGCTGTGAAGACACCCGCATCAGAGGAAAAACAGGGAGCAGCCTGGTAGTGATGTCGGTGCCTGTAGTTACCCAATGTGGACATGTGAGTTAATACAGGTGTGTAAGCAGGAGCTGTAACTGGGCTGTAGGCTTGGCCAATATTTGTGGTGACATTAGTGTAGTCCAGAGTTATTTTACTATCAGCAAAGGGTCCAACCGTTCTTTCTAAACCAGCATGGAATGCCACTTTAGGTCTATCTGTGAACACAGAGGTTCCACAATAATGTAATATGCTGTATAATATATATATATTCTATTCAGCTCCTTCAACTGGCTGTCACCCTGTCCTCCAAAGACAAAACCATATTAAAATACTTTCTGATCCATACTGAATAAAAAAACAAATTATCAAAATGGTAATCAGTGGGATCAATGAAATAGCCTCCATTACCTGCATTCTCTCTCTTCAGCTCCTCCACCTCTGTCTCACTGGCTGTCACTCTGGCCCCCATGGCTGACAATTCTGCTGCTTGGACTAGAATTACAGGAAATATACCTACAGTGTTCAATCTGATAGAGACTAATGAAAACACAATTCTGTAGATATTTTCCAACGTGGTCTCAGAGCATTTCGTATTATTCTGTACGTACAGTGGGGAGAACAAGTATTTGATACACTGCCGATTTTGCAGGTTTTCCTACTTACAAAGCATGTAGAGGTCTGTAATTACACTTCAACTGTGAGAGACAGAATCTAAAACAAAAATCCAGAAAATCACATTGTATGATTTTTAAGTAATTAATTTGCATTTTATTGCATGACATAAGTATTTGATCACCTACCAACCAGTAAGAATTCCGGCTCTCACAGACCTGTAAGTTTTTCTTTAAGAAGCCCTCCTGTTCTCCCCTCATTACCTGTATTAACAGCACCTGTTTGAACTCGTTACCTGTATAAAAGACACCTGCCCACACACTCAATCAAACAGACTCCAACCTCTCCACAATGGCCAAGACCAGAGAGCTGTGTAAGGACATCAGGGATAAAATTGTAGACCTGCACAATGCTGGGATGGGCTACAGGACAATAGGCAAGCAGCTTGGTGAGAAGGCAACAACTGTTGGCGCAATTATTAGAAAATGGAAGAAGTTCAAGATGACGGTCAATCACCCTCGGTCTGGGGCTCCATGCAAGATCTCACCTCATGGGGCATCAATGATCATGAGGAAGGTGAGGGATCAGCCCAGAACTACACTGCAGGACCTGGTCAATGACCTGAAGAGCGCTGGGACCACAGTCTCAAAGAAAACCATTAGTAACACACTACGCCGTCATGGATTAAAATCCTGCAGCGCACGCAAGGTCCCCCTGCTCAAGCCAGCGCATGTCCAGGCCCGTCTGAAGTTTGCCAATGACCATCTGGATGATCCAGAGGAGGAATGGGAGAAGGTCATGTGGTCTGATGAGACAAAAATAGAGCTTTTTGGTCTAAACTCCACTCGCCGTGTTTGGAGGATGCTTTTCTGCAAAGGGGACAGGACGACTGCACAACAACCTCCTTCCCTCAGTAAGAGCATTGATGATGGGTCGTGGCTGGGTCTTCCAGCATGACAACGACCCGAAACACACAGCCAGGGCAACTAAGGAGTGGCTCCGTAAGAAGCATCTCAAGGTCCTGGAGTGGCCTAGCCAGTCTCCAGACCTGAACCCAATAGAAAATCTTTGGAGGGAGCTGAAAGTCTGTATTGCCCAGCAACAGCCCCGAAACCTGAAGGATCTGGAGAAGGTCTGTATAGAGGAGTGGGCTAAAATCCCTGCTGCAGTGTGTGCAAACCTGGTCAAGACCTACAGGAAACGTATGATCTCTGTAATTGCAAACAAAGGTTTCTGTACCAAATATTAAGTTCTGCTTTTCTGATGTATCAAATACTTATGTCATGCAATAAAATGCAAATTAATTACTTAAAAATCATACAATGTGATTTTCTGGATTTTTGTTTTAGATTCCGCCTCTCACAGTTGAAGTGTACCTATGATAAAAATTACAGACCTCTACATGCTTTGTAAGTAGGAAAACCTGCAAAATCGGCAGTGTATCAAATACTTGTTCTCTCCACTGTATATCTGAGATACTCCATTTAGTTTGATATGTTAGGTTTTGTATGGTATGTGTTAATCCATTATCCATTTCATGTATGTTACGGTTTAGAATTTGTATGATATGTACCAAATTGCAATTCGTACAATATGGGACAAATTTTCTAAAAACGTACAATATGTTACGAATTTGTAAAATTTATGAAATGTTACGAATTCCAATTTCTTGTTGCTAACGTTAGCTAGGTGGCTAGGTGGCTAAAGCTAACATTAGCTAGCTCACTGCTGCTACTCACTGTTTATTATCTATGCATAGTCACTTTACCCCTACCTACATGTACAAATTACCTCGACTAACCTGTAACCCCGCACATTGACTCGGTACCGGTACCCCCTGTTTATAGCCTCGTTATTGTTATTTTATTTTGTTACTTTTTATTTTATGTTTTACTTTAGTTTATTTGCACCTGTTGTATTCGGCGCATGTGACATTTTTATATCTTTTTTTATATCTTTTATTTATTTATTTACTATGTTACATCTAGTCTATGAGACCAGTCTGATATGTTCCTATCGCTACATTACATGCATTCTCTGTCTTCAGCTCCTCCACATCTCTCTCACTGGCTGTCACTCTGACCTCCAGTCCTAGAATATGATGTAAAAAGATACAAATAAACTGTTGATGACTTCAAAACCCAACTTAGTTATTTGTTAATTACAGTAATCAAATAACATAAGTTATAGCTGCCTCAATTTACCTGCATTTTCTCCCTCCAGTTCCTCCAGCTTGTTCTTGTAGAACTGTAGTTCATTCTTAGTGACACTCAGCTCCACTCTCTGGTTCACCACCTCTTTCTGCAGCTCTTCCACCTGGCTCTCACTGGCACTCAGTCTGGCCTTCAAACCTGCAATAACATGAAGAGAGGCTTTTTAATCCATACTGAATGAAGAATGTGCAATCCAATCCACTGCAAACATACACTGAAATTCAAATGAATATCCTCTTTCACCTGTGTTCTCTCTCTTCAGTTCCTCCACCTCTCTCTCATTAGCTGTCACTCTGGCCCCCATGGCTGACAGTTCTGCTGCTTGGACTGGAATTATAAGAAAAATGTGAGGGGCTCTTTATCTGATGTATATCAATTTACAAACTAGATCCTTTTCAGATACTGTATATACATAACGTAGTACCTGTTTTCTCACTCTCCAGTTCCTCCACCTTATTCTTGTAGAACTGCAGTTAATTCTTAGTGACACTCATCTCCACTCTCTGGTTCACCACCTCTTTCTGCAGCTCCTCCACCTGGCTCTCACTGGTGCTCAGTCTGGCCCCCATGTTCCTCAGCTCCACTCTCTGTTACACCACAATGTCTCTCAGCTCCTTCAGCTCAGTCCAGATTTCAGGCTGGGTAGTCAACTGTTCAGCATCCCTCTCTCTGCTCTCTCCTCCTTCACTGACCCCTCCTCTCTCTCCCTGAGCCCATGTCCCAGACAGACAGAACAGCAACACCTGCAGAGCTACAGCACCCCTCATTCTGAAACAATGTCTCTTCAGAACTAATGTAGTCTACTGGGCTCAGTCCCCTTCTTTATATACACACTGGTGTTGGTGTCCTCGTGGAACATTTTGGGAACATAGCCAAGGGCTGAGTGATGTAACAGAACACAGGTAAAGATAATTTCATGCCAAGTCATTCAAATGTGCAGTTGTTTAAGGCCATGGGAGAATCCCACCTGTTACTTTGTTACAGCTACCCCTTTATTCCTTAAAGTTTGTATAGAAATCTCTGTGTTTAGTAATGCTTTTTGTTTTGTTTTTGTTTTTTCAACTTCTATTTAATCACGTTGGTCAATTGAGATGCCATTTTTATTTGTATTGACAACCTGGTCAAGAGGCAAGTACACAGCAAAGACAATGTGTAAAGGTAAAATTACAACAAGTTCAGATCAATACACAAACAATCATTATTTTAGTAGATCTCTGTAAAGTATTTTCTGTATTAGTTTGTCAATCTGTTCACAGTTGTGTTTACTACACAATATACAATATAGAATACAATACAGTACAATAGATAGGTAATTGGTATTTTTGCAGTCACAATGTCATTGCTCTATCCCTCATGGCACTTTTATGTTTAACATTTATCTGTGTTTCAGCTCACTGTACACCTGTCTGTATTTCTGTCTGTCTGTCTGTCTGTCTGTCTGTCTGTCTCTGTGTGTGTGTCATATCACTTGATGGTTTCATTTCAGAGAGACAAATAATCATGTTATTTTACTAAATGCTATACAGTATATCCGCCTCACTCTGAAATAAATAATTAGTACTGCTAGGTTTTACACAATCAAATGTAACAAATAACTACATTTTTAATAAAGAAATGTAAAAATGCTACATTTGAGACATCAATATTTTTTTTTATGATTTAAAAAATGTTTAAAAACAGTAATCTATTATGTAAAACTTTTGCATTTAGCAGATGCTCTTATCCAGAGCGATTTACAGTAAGTGCATTCATCTTAAGATAACTACGTGAGACAACCAAATATCACAGTCAAATATACAGGATACAACATTCCATTCCAGCTAAATAATTGATATATAACGTTTTGCAACAAAAAAACATTTTTGTACACATCTAAAATTTGAGAAGAGTAATATTTTACACACACATTAAGGTACCCACCCATAAGAAATAATATCTGATGAAAAAACACAAATGTGAAAAATTAGTGGATTTATGGCGCATAGTCGGAACTAGGTAACTCGAATATTTCCGACTTGCTAACTGGTTGAATGCGGCACGTGTATAACTAGCCCACACCAGTTGTCAAGTCAGACATTTTCGAGTTTCCTATTCTGACTAGCATGTTAACGCGGCAATAGGGTTTTGGAAATATACTCTTCAAATGTAGCTCAGGAGTCCATGGTAGTTTATAAATCTTTAAAACATTTCTGACAGGTTTCAAGGACCCAGATTAAGCTTTCTATTTAACAAAATTCAAGATCATGATAATTTGTTTTAATGGGAATGTATTATAATAGGCTTGTCCTGGAGTCATAGGTATATTTTCAGTTTATTTCAGTTTTCGTTTTTGGTCACCTAGATCTAGGTCTATAGATGACTGGGTTAACATTAATTGACAAGTGAATTTGTTTTGCTGCTTACCATATTTGAAGGATATAATGCACAAAAAAAACATGTGAAGTTATGAAAAGATCAAGTAGATTTTCCTGTATTAGTCAGGGTTTGATAAATGTGGTTTAACTTCAACGTTCATATTATTCACATTCATTGAAAATATGATGAGTAAAATGTGATTCCCCTATGCCCATTACTTGAGTAGGTGGCTACTTGTCAACATGTGTTCGACCAGTCTATTGGTTAAGAGCCAGACAATGGTAAACGATGTCTGTAAATGGGCGAGTTCGTTTTGCATGGCCCGGTGCCACAGGTAAGTGGCGATTTCACTTAAGGACCAATGGAATGGTCTAAAATGTGCAGACGCGCCCAATTTCTGTCAGTTCGCGGCGGTTCTTATTGGCAGTTGTGTCAGGGCATCTGCATCAAATAAAATTGTTCCTCAATCCTCTTGTTCAAGTCAGTCAGTACGATAAATTATATTTTTTACATAGGCCTAACGGTTTACATTCTATATTTCAATTAAAGTTGTAAAGTTAGATTTATTTAGCTCATCAATCTGTAAGGAACCAGTCATGTTTTTCTACCAGAGCGTTTTGAATCGTCATACAGGCTGCTTCTCCACAATATGGTGAGTAGGCCAAGTTGCTAAAAGATTGCGGTTGATATTTGATATGTAGGCTAGAGAACCGTTTCATTTGGATGAAGGAGCAATATTAATGAAGTATGGGGATAATAGATCATTCGATTCTCATTATGTTTTTGTAACTTTGTCATAATCCTACCCGAGCTCCACGGCATAGCCTAGTTTGACTATTACCTGCTTATCATGCCTACCTAGCCTACTGTATGATCAATTATAGCTAAGTCAGCCTAGACTACTTCATGAAAGATGAATGTAGGCCTACCTTGCAATGAATAAGACACAGTTATAACTCTATTATAATAATGTAACACTATTATAATATTAGTTAGGCCTATCCTATATACATTTATCTAAAATGGTTTTCTGATATTTCTCGTGCTGTTAAATCTAGCTGCTAGTGTCTGGGTCTGGGGTCATGTAAAGGAGAACAGGTGCAACAGCCAGACATAACAATGATAGACCAGGTAAACACAGAGGAAACATAAAGAAAACATTTGTGCTCTTCTCATTGTCAACAGAGACACATCAATGAATGCCGCTCTAGAATTAAACTGAGACGCATAAAATGACAAACTTTTAAACGTTTAGGAAAATATTAGAGAATAGGAGAGAGATCATCAGTCTGAAAGCTTGAAAGAGAAGTTTGATTTCCCCGCCAGCCTCTCAGTCCAGCAATTTCAAAGTACCGCGAACCCGAAGAGCGCACGCTCTGCTACTTTTGTCCAATCAGAGCGCTTCAGAGGTTTCCGGTCGACATTACTGTCCAATCATACCGCTTCCAGTGTTTTTTCCATATCAGTGCAGTGAAACGGAGCAGAGGCAAGGCAGGCGGGCTATCTGATTGCTGATATCCATTTGTCTGTAATGATGGAAATATCTGTCTGTTGTGTGGTGATTCTAGGCTGGCTGCCACCAAAGGGATAAAGATCCCACGAAAAGATTTCCTGAAAGTCAACGTCCAACGAACATGGTAAGAGATGGTTTGCCTTTGCCTGTTTGTCATTGAAAAACTTTTGCTTCATACATTCGTTTCTGGTGGGATTATCATCATCATCATCCTTGTGTATAGCTAGCTTCAGTGTTCTACAATTGAAAACGTATATAAATATAGGCTACTGTTTAATTTTTAGTTTTTTAATCATTCCTTTCTTAGCCCTGTGCTATAGTAGTCTACATGGATGCCATCATGCCATATCCCATTTGTTGTGCACCTACAGTGATGACATCATGGACTATGTGCTGGTGCGAGTCCCGCCCCCTCTGCCGGGATTGCCCCGCCCCCGTTTCTCCCTCTACCTCTCCTCCCAGCTCCAATATGGTGTCATCATCGTCTTCCACCGCCAGTGTGGGATGCTCCTGGGTAAGAGGGAGAGGAAGAGAGGGGGAGTCATAGAAGAGGGGGAGTCATAGAGGGGGAGTCATAGAGGGAGAGGAAGAGAGGGGGAGTCATAGAGGGAGAGGAAAAGAGGGGGAGGAAAGAGGGGGAGTCATAGAGGGAGAGGAAAAGAGGGGAGTCATAGAGGGAGGGGGGAGTCATAGAGGGAGAGGAAAAGAGGGGGAGGAAAAGGAGGGGGAGTATAGAGGGAGAGGAAGAGAGGGGGAAGTCATAGAGGGAAAGGAAGAGAGGGGGAGTCATAGAGGGAGAGGAAGAGAGGGGGAGTCGTAGAGGGAGAGGAAGAGGTGGGAGTCGTGTAGAGGGAGAGGAAAAGGGGGAGTCATAGAGGGAGAGGAAGAGAGGGGGAGTCATAGAGGGAGAGGGAGAGGAAGAGGGGGGGAGTCATAGAGGGAGAGGAAAAGAGGGGGAGTCATAGAGGGAGAGAGGAAAAGAGGGGGAGTCATAGAGGGAGAGGAAGAGAGGGGGAGTCATAGAGGGAGAAGAAAAGAGGGGGAGTCATAGAGGGAGAAGAAGAGAGGGGGAGTCATAGAGGGAGAAGGAGAGAGGGGGAGTCAGAGAAGGAGAGAGGGGGAGTCATAGAGGGAATGCGAGGGAGGGAGAGAGGGAAGGGGAAAGAGAGGGGGAGTGAGTAGGAAAAGAGAAGGTTGGAGAGAGGGATGGTGCAGGTAGGGGAGAATAGGAGGTGTGGAAAAGACAGTAGTGTGACAGTAGAGTTATGACCTCTGACCTGTGGTGTGACACAAGAGTTATGACCACTGACCTGTAGTGTGACAGGAGAGTTATGACCTCTGACATTAGGGTGACAGGAGAGTTATGACCTCTGACCTGTAGTGTGACAGGAGAGTTATGACCTCTGACCTATAGTGTGACAGGAGAGTTATGACCTCTGACCTATAGTGTGACAGGAGAGTTATGACCTCTGACCTATAGTGTGACAGGAGAGTTATGACCTCTGACCTATAGTGTGTGTGTTTCCAGAGGAGATCCAGCAAATCCTGGACAGACTAGCCAAGACCAGAACCATCCAGAAGATCGACGTGGATGAGCCTGACAGGTGGGTACAACAAACCCTGTTTCTCAACTCTCATGTTCTTCCAGGGGGAGAGAGAGGCGTCTGGCGAGTGCGCTGACACAAAATGGCTGCCATGAATTAGGATCTCTCTCTCTCGCTCTCTTTCCCTCAGACACGCTCTTTCTCTTCCTGACGTGTTGTCTCTCCTGGAGGAAAGTGGGTGGGCCGCGCACCCCTTCTTTGGAGAAATGCATTCTGGGTACGCAATACCCAGCCCCAATACACTAATACAGGTACATCAGACAGTGGCTCAAATTACTGTGTGTGTGTGTGTGTGTGTGTGGTAAAATGACTGTGTTCTATTGACACATCTCGTCTTTCTCTGATCTCTTGTTCTGTTCCTCTTCTTGTCTGTCAGCTGGGTGGAGAGATTAGGAGAGAAGCCACTCCTGAGCGCCCCCTGCTTCTGAGTCCAGGAACTCCCCCTCAGGACGGTGAGAGAGGAGGGGGGAGTTTAATACATTAAGGGGAATGGGAGTGGAGAAAAGGAAGAGTGGTCATGAGTTAAATGGTAATCCATTGGGTTTCCTTTATTGTTGTTTATGGTCTTATCCCTCGTTCATTCCCAGGTATCACGGCGTCTCCAGACTCCATCACTCTGATAGAGACTGAACCCATCACCATCCCCTCAGCAGAGGTACACCTGTCAATCAGTACAGCTGTCAATCAAACTAACCTTCCAATCAAACCATCTCTCTCTCTCGCTGGCAGTTTGAAGGGGCGGAGCTCGCTGAGGTCACACATCAAGACATGGGGATGATTGACTTGCTGATGGACCAGTTGGATCACTTCCCAGAGGGTGAGTGACAGGTGAATTCTACTCTGTCCCTGCCCCCTGTACACAGGGCAGCTGTAAAAATGAGTCTGTGTTTCAGGAGTGATGGAGACAGAGCGAGAGAGGGGCCCAGAGACAGAAGAGAGGCAGAGAGAAGGAGAATCTGTGGGAGAAGGGGACTTGGAGAAAGTGAACAAGAAGTAGAAAGAGACAGAGAAGAAGAGACAGAGAGGACAAGAGAGCTGATTGGATCCCTTATTGGGTAGGTTAATGTATACTGACACACTCACACACACACACACACACACACACACACACACACAGTAACTTTGGTTCCCGCTGTCTCCTCTGTCAGACTGCCGCCCACCACCCTATCCAGCGAGGACCCCACAGTGCTGCCTGATGAGGAGACAGAGTTGCTGCCCATGGAGATGCCTGCAGCGCTGGCAGAGGAGAGGACCCCAGTGTCTGTTCCTCTGCCCCCTTCCACACCCGGTGAACCAGAGGAGAGAGGGATGGATGGAGAGAGGGAGAGATGGAGAGATAGCCCCACCCTACAGGATGTTACTCCCCCAATGAAGCGACCTCGCAGGAGGCAGCTGCTCTTCATCGACCAGAAAACACAGATTACCCAGGAGGCACTGCAGCAACAGATAGACAACACGCTCATACAGACCAGGCCCCTGGTACACACACACACACACACACACACAAATACATACACACACACATTTGAACTACATTTACATTTACATTTACGTAATTTAGCAGACACTCTTATCCAGAGCGACTTACAAATTGGTGCATTCACCTTATAGCCAACTATACACCCAAAACTGTAATCATTTACAAGGTATTCATAAACAAGTTAATCAGTTAGTGAAAGTGTGAGAGTAATTAAGATGTGTGTTCCAGGTTGTAATCAGTGGTCTCTCTAAGAGAACAGTGTCTCCAGCTGATCTCCTTGGTAACCCATGCACCAGTGAGTATCAACTCTCATACTCTCTCTTTCTCACTGTTAAACAACCTTTAATCAACACTGAAATAACGTTAGGTCTCTATTCCTCCTCAGCCCTCCCTCCAGAGCTGCTGTTGCCATGGAAACAGGTGGCGGTCATCACAGTGCTCACTGGCTCCGCCCTGCTGGTAGGGAGGACAGAGACAGACTCGGAGTCAGAGAGAGAGAGGGATAGAGAGAGAGTGATGGAGGCAGCGGAGGAGGGAGACAGAGAGCAGGAGGAAGAGCTCAGCTCAAAAGAGGTGAGGAGGGATCAAACAGTTTTTTAGGTGACTACACATGTGTGCATCTAAAAACTGGACAATGACGATATCGACAATTATCCCTGTGTGTGTAGGTACCTAGAGAGTTGGCAGAGTCAGGCCTGTCCCAGCCTGATGTTTCCAGTAAGATATTACAATACTGTAGTATAATTCCATAGATCAGTCATATGGCTGGGGGACTGCAAGATGCTTGGTCATCTTGCAGACAGTGCTCCCTCTCCATCTCAAGATAGATGTTAACTCTGTGTGTTCCTCCAGCTCGGTCGCCGCTGTCCCTGGAGGGCTCTGATAGAGACATGTCCCGGGAGAACTCCCCCCTGGACATACCCGAGAGCAGAGGGTGAGAGGAGAGGGAGGAGAAGAGGGGGAGGGGGGAGGAAGGGAGTTGTATATTGTGTGCAACTGGTAGTTACATACAGTTGACACATGATAATGTCATATTGTGTTGTGTTCAGGTCTCCTGTCCCCAGGTCTGTGTCCAAACTGATGGACATTCCAGAGGAGGGCGAGGGACCGCTGGAGAGAGAGGCAGAGCACATACCCCTGGCTGACCTATCAGCAGAGCTACTGGAGTAATAATCTAGCTATTACATCATCAAATTATAGTTTTTTTTTCTTCTTCTAAAGAGCTCACCCCCCTCTTTCTGTGTGTTTATCCAGCATAGTGACAGAGCCTCTTGAGGATCATGAAGGGGTGCTGTTCCACTCTCTGCTGCCCCCACTGGCCCAATGCAGTAGTGTCACTCACTCATTCTGGACCCTACTGGGTAAGACAATGCAGATGTGTGTGTTTGTGTGTGTGTAACAGTCAGATGTGTGTGTGTGTGTGTGTGTAACAGTCAGATGTGTGTGTGTTCTCTACAGAGATGGTAACTGCCAGGAAACTTTGTGTGCAGCAGGATTAACCTTATGGTGACATCATCATTTCACCTGGACCCAACTACGAGGAGGGGAATGAGAGTGTGTAACACACACACACACACAACTGGAGAGACTGTTTCTTCAAAGATGACTTTCAAATAGATCTCACACAGATAGTTTGATTGTGGTAACAAAAAGAGACGACAGTTGACCTGTTCCTCTTTGCTTATCGTAATTTAGGAGTTGCGTTTTTGTTGGTCATTTATCAGAACCTCTTATCCAAAGCAGTTTACAGTAGTGAGTACACACATTTGTCTTACTGGTCCCCAGTGGGAATTGAACCTACAATCCTGGCATTGCAAGCACCATGCTCTACCAACTAAGCCACACAGGACATTTTGTAAAGTTTTTAAAGCAGGTTTTGCTTTGTCTTATTATATTATGTGACTAAAGACTGAAGACTGAATTTAATATTCAATATCACATTTTAAAAAAGCATTTAAAATGACTTTTCCGCCATTTCTATTTACACAGTATTTTTACCTAATCTTTGCCTGTGCTGACATGTAAAGGGCTTAGTGTGTTTCAGTGTTGCTGTTTTTTAAAACTTGTAACAGGTGTTTGTTTCTGTGAATAAACATGTAAAACTATTTATCTGTACTGTGTTTGTGTCTGGCAGACCCAAGTCAAAATCTAAAGGAGTTAAAAGTACAATTTTATGTACAATGTACTCATGATGAACCACAATTGGAAGAAAAACATTTAATTGAATGATAAATAGCTCATATAGACTATAGTACATGAGTTTTCACAAATCATCCCTTGTACTGTACACAGATGGCCGACCGGTAGTTGGACATTAACTCTACACATTTCATGCACTTTAAACGTTGGTACAATGCTGTATTAATAATGAGACGGGACACCAAAGTGTTAGCTTCAGGAAGGGCTTTAGTAAGATAAAACCAGATACAGAACATCATTGGTACTGCATTACATCATGCTACACCTCCTTTTAGTGATAGTAGAGGAAGACACAACACACTAGAAATATGGTAAAAATCTTAATAAATATATTTAGTGTTAGCTTCAGGAATGTCTTTAGTAAGATAAGTACTGTGGTACAGCATGCTACAAACGCCATAAAACCTGAACTTGTCTATTGTGTACATCTGTGTAAATCACTGATAATTAATGGCTATAAAATCAAGGCATGTTACAAAGAAATATAATAGTTTTATAGATTATTTACACTGTTACAAATGTATGGATTACAAAACTTCCCCACAGACACTGTTGTCATTTTCTTTCATTCACTTGACAGAAGACATAGTCCTCAGAGTAACATAATGAATACAATAATAAAGAATGTAAAACTGTTCTATATCGTTCTGTTCTGGCTCTGACAGGCCTGTGGGACTGGTACGTTTGTCTGCCTGAGGCTCTTGGGCTGTGGCAGGAGATCTCTGACAATAAACTGGAGGGGGTATCAGCATATTGAAGACAGAGAGGAGCTCTTCTCTATGCCAGTGGACAGAGGATGGACAGTGTGATTATATAGCTGTTAGATTCTGCATACACACTTTAGAGTTGAGAGTTAAGAGAGGAAACTGAACTGTGATATATTGGATAACAATGTTGGATAACAGTGTTTTTGGAGCTGTGAGAAAACCCCAGCTTTCTTATACCTGCCATATGATGCATCACTAGTATCACATGATTTTGGAAAATAATCAGATGAATTGAAGACATGACAACATGATATGACTTGGTGTTGAAACATAAAAAATAAAACGTTCACAGATCCCTTGAGGACTATGGTGTTTCTCCAGGATACAGGAGGCTATTTCACATGACACTAGTATGGAGTCCACATCAACCGTAAACCCTGGGTAGATGGGCTCAGTGAATCTGTTATTTAAAGTCCACAGGTGGGTAAATACACCAGAGGATATCTTGTAGAAGGTCACACTGCCAGCTGGCCAGTCCAGATATACTCCTAACCTTCAGGAGAGCATTGGTTGGACTTTCACGAAACTGGCTTGGTTCATGTGAACAGCAGAGCAACTGAGCGCTGCACTCCAGACACCAGGTCATGGCATTGCCCCCTATCTTAGCATCCTTGTCATTTCCTCTCGGAGCGCAGTTCACAATGCATGTAGACCTAGCATCTCAACATGGTAACTTTTTTTCTTGTGACAGGTAGGCCGACTGCCCGTCTAATTTACCCATCTCCATCTGGCTTTTTGAAAGATTATACTTTTTTCAATTGCAGCTGCAGTTTTAAAACAGCCTACTACTCGAATATCGTTGCTTGAAATCAGTGCACGCGCGAGCACTCTCTCGCAGTCTTTCTCTCTCTCCATCAACTCCATTCAAATTGCATCCAAAATAGATAATCCTGTTCTCGATTGATATATAGCCCTATATATAGATGTCCTAGCCTACCTCTTTCAGGGAATACATTCAATCCAGTATAAGCCTTATATTTAGTTAATTAATGATGGGTTATGCATAATAAGCGTATAATTTACAGTATAGCCTTTGTCTCTTGCGCAATACGCACACACCGCTGGCCTCCTTAACAAACGTTCATTAGCTCTTGCAATCCCATGCAGAAAAAGCTAGAGTAGAATAGCTAGCTGGACATTATATGTTTAGAATTTCTTATACCAATAAACTATTCGAAGAGGGACACAAGCTCTTTTTTGCTGATTGTTAAGTACAGCAGCCAATAGAAGTCACCGGTAATTTGAAAGAAGAGCGAACGCGTGCGATGGCGGTAGGCTATAGCAGTTATTTATTCAGTATTCACTAGCCTATTGTCACGCTCGTTTACTGATGAGACGGACCAAGGCGCAGCGTGATAAGCGTACATTTTATTAAGTACTTAACTCACACAAAACAACAAACAAACAAAACGTGAAGTCCTAGGTTACACAAAACAAACCTTAACGGAACAAGATCCCACACCGACTAGTGCCAAACAGGCTGCCTAAGTATGGTCCCCAATCAGAGACAACGAGCTACAGCTGCCTCTGATTGGGAACCACCCTGGCCAACATAGATCTACACGATCTAGAAAACACAACATAGAAAATATGACACAGAAACTCCACACCCTGGCTCAACATTTAAGAGTCCCCAGAGCCAGGGCGTGACACCTATACTTGTAATTTTGTAGGCCGCATGTGCTGCACACGATTCGCATGTTCTCTTCTGATTTATCATGGTTTGAACAATGTGCGTAATTCCAGTCCATATAATACAATATAATACAGCACAGTACAGTAATACAGTTCACACTAAAAAAGATTAGCCTACTGGATCTAGTTTCATTTATTTACCCAAGAGAGCATATAGCTAGCTACATCTATGGGCTTTTATGTTTTTCTGTCGTGCGTAATGTGCAGTAGCCTATATCATACATGTATTGGATAACAGCAACCCTAATCAGGATATGGTTGCTCCTCTGTCTACACAAAACCTGTGGCCAGCGTTGAAATCTGTCTGGATGATCAGAATACGGTTGCTCCTCTGTCTACCGTCACCGTTCTGTTCCCCTCCGACAGGGAGAGGTGTCAGTGGGCTGTGTTTGGGTCCAGTGTCAGCTCATAGGCATCTGATGAGGGAGACAGAGAGACTAATTACATTACAAATAATTAAATGTTTTGAGTGTATTTTTGACAAATATATTTGATTGATAGTGATCATGAGATCCTATGTACTATTCATTAATGAAATAACTGACAAGAGAGTTCCCAGAATACCTCCTTCTAAATATGATCTCCCTTAACTCACTGTGTGTGTTTTTGTGCTGGTCAGGTCTATAAAACAAACATAATTACACACTTACATTTCTTCAGGCCAGATACTTGTAGATACCAGTGCGCTGCATGATTGTTCACACTGTAGGAGAAAGAGATTCACAGTGACACAAACAGCATGTGTTTGAAGTTTAGTGTGGAAAATAAATACCTTAACATGAGGCCTATACTGTTCTAGAACTGTCAGGAGGAATCAATGATTTGTACACATACCTTATTTAACTAAAATACTCATTTTACATCCATACATTGTATTTCTACCTGAGTTTTACATTACAGTCTGGATGCTCCAGTGCAGCAGAGAGAATCTTCACTCTTGAGTCTCCTACGTGACTGTAGTCCAGATTCAGCTCTCTCAGGTGTGAGGGGTTTGACCTCAGTGCTGAGGCCAAGGAAGCACAGACTTCCTCTGTGACTCCACATAATGACAAACTGCAGGAAGAGAACATTCAATTAAGGATTTGGACTCACCTAGTGGCATAGCTGCACCCCATGTCAAATATGATCACCGGTATTCAGTTGACCAATTATTGCCCAAAAGTATGAATCATTAAGACAATTAAGGGGCCATTTTCATTCACATCCAAACATACAATGTTTATTTAAAAAAATGTCCTATGTCACATAATACTTTACACTCCAATTGTACACACGTAAGAACTTCCAGTTTACAGTGTGGACTCCCCAGTCCAGCAGAGAGCAGCTTCACTCCTCATTATTTTTCTGGTTCAGCTCTCTCAGTTGAGAGGAGCTGAGAGTAGAGGCCAGTGCTTCACAGCATTTTTCTGTCAGGTTGCAACCCATCAGTCTGAATAAGAAATGAAGACAAAGACATGGATTTACTTTTAGTTTTTTCAGTATCAAACCATTAGCTACACAAGCATCTGA